TTCTAAGTCCACCATCTCTTCTTCCCCTCTCACCACCTGACTTCTCAGTATCAGCGGACTACTACAGAGAGAGAAAGAGTTGTGACTTGAGACTTGACGACATTGGATCCAGACTCGACATTGGGATTCAGACATGTTGACGAGGCACTATTTGGGCCTGTGCTGAACACTTGGTGTTGACGACATTCCCATCTTCCCTTCTTCTTCGTCTAACACCCACCTCCTTCGTCTGTGTATGGTTGGGGCTGGCGCAGTCTTCTTGTGTGAAGCGCCAGACCCCTTCACACCATGATGATGATGATGTATGTTCAGGGCTGCATTGCAATATTGATTGTTCGGATCATTGGTATCTAAGTCTTCCGCTGTGCTATCTTATACTTTGTATTGAAGGGTCGGTTCTGGTCTGCACCTATACGGTATGCAACAGTTTGGTATCGGAGCGGACCTCTCATTCAGAGGACCCGCTCAATCAAGTAGCAAGCTTGCTTGATCTAGTGATCACTCATTAGTAAATCAAGTAGGACTTTGTCAAATCTCTGAAAAAAAAAATTATCGCAACAACTATCTGAAGATTTCCGATATTCGCATTTCGTTTTACCTGAAAATTTCTGATATTAGTATTTCGTTTTCACGTGACAAATATCTGAAAATTTCTGATAAATCGCATTTCGTTTTGTCAAAAATTCCGATAGTAGCATTTCGTTTCTCTGATATTTCGCATACATAGCTGAAATTGCTGAAGTTAGTATTTCGTTTTCTAGGCATAATGGGATAACGATAGAAGTGGTCATATTCTCGGAAACCGAAATTATTTTTTTCTGAAAATCGAATTTCCATTCTATCTCGCAAATTTTTTTTTGAAAACCGAAATCTTGCGGAGCCTACCTAGGCATATTCAGAGGTTGCCATATTCTCAGAAACTGCACTTCGTTCTTTCTGAAAATCGCATCTTTACTCTATTCCGCAAATTTTTTTTTTCCAAAGATCAGATTTTAGTGAAAGCCGAAACTTTGCGGAGCCTAGCCTAGATCTCGTTCATAATACTCTTCTGACATGTCTCACTCATCATAGATCGACAGATATATACAAAAAAAAAAAAAAGGAAGTAGTCCTCTTTTTTTATTTTTTTTTTATTTTATCTGTTGATTAGGGCCGGAGGAAAGTATTGTCAGGTTGGTTTCCTACCTACGTTTCCCCCCACCCACTCCTCTGCATGCTTTTCCGGGTTGGTACAGTGACACGTCAGCAGTGCCACATCAGACACAGTGACACGTTAGCTACAGTGACACGTCAGCAGGCCACATCAGCAGTGCCACGTCAGACACAGTGCCACGTAAGCAGTGCCACGTCAGCAGTGCCACGTCAGCAGTGCCATGTCAGACACAGTGCCATGTAAGCAGTGCCACGTCAGACATAGTGCCACGTCAGCAGTGCCACATCAGCAGTGCCACGTCAGCAGTGCCACGTCAGCAGTGCCACGTCAGCAGTGCCATGGCAGACACAGTGCCCCGTAAGCAGTGCCACGTAAGCAGTGCCACGTAAGCAGTGCCACGTAAGCAGTGCCACGTAAGCAGTGCCACGTAAGCAGTGCCACGTAAGCAGTGCCACATCAGCAGAGCCATGTCAGCAGAGCCACGTCAGCAGAGGCACGTCAGCAGAGCCACGTCAGCAAACATGATGGGCCTGCCAGGCCAACTGGCCAATGAGCCCATTGCCGACTGCAAAACGCGTTTCCAAGCTCAGCTCGCTGCAATCGAGGCTGAGGAACAACGCCAGCTGGCAGTCACGGGCTGCCCAGCTACAGGCTGAAGAAGCGGCAACAGCAGAGAAGCTGCGGCTACAGGCCGAAGCAGACGCAGATGCCCAGGCTCGACGCAAGGAAGCCCAGGATCTGCTGCTGCGGCATGAAGCCAACAGCATCGACAGACTCAAGTACTGGCATTTTGAACCAAACGGCGACGAGGCAACACCGGAAGAGCAGCATAAGGAGTTCTTGGCCAAGCTCGTGACCAGGCTGGTTTACACATGTAACCACCTGCAGCCCGAGCTGGCAAACCTTCAGCGGGCTGTGCGGAACCATAAGACTCAGCACGACGATGCCGCACGGGCACTGGACGCCCGTGTACTGAACCTGGAACAGGCTGTACCAGGACCAGCTGCTGGGGCTTCCAGCAGTGCATCCTCTAGCCGCCAACTAGAGGAACGCGTTGACCACGTAGTGGCAATGCTAGGAGACATAAGTACCTTCACAGAGCCGGCCACCATCAGCCAGCGGTTCGAGTTGCTGGACACCAAGCTCAGTCAGCAACAGCACACCGACCACAGGCACAACAACAGCTCGGCGAGGCCATACAAGATGCCGATGTTCCGGACCGAAAAATTTTGATGACTACACACATCAAGACCCGGTCGTCTGGTGGCAAGGATTTACAACGGAGTTGGGGATCCACGAGGTCCCTGACCATCTGTTCATCAGTGCTCTGTTCATCAACACCAAGGGAGGATGTCAGATCTGGCTCAGCCACATGGCAACCATCCACGGCGTCTAGGTTTCAGACCTGCATAAGAAGGTCTCCTGGGAGGATATGACAAAGGAATGGAAGAAGTGGTTCATAGTGGATGACGCACCCGCACTCGCCATCAACCGCATCTCCGCGATGGCTCAAGGGAGCACACCGACACGTGACTGGCTCACGGATAGCAGAAGATGGTGGCCACGCCCGATCTGGACTTGCCATTTCCGCATCTGCGCCGTGAGTTCTACAACAGGTCATGCGCCGCTCTCAGCCTCGCACTTGGTGATCGCGAGCAATACAACACTTTCGCAGAGATCATCAACAAGGCGAGAGAGATCATCAAGACCAGCAGGGTGACCGCACACGAGAAGTCAACGTGGCAGCCAACCTATGTGGAGAAGGTACGAACTAGTCCGCGACAGCAGCAGTTCGCTGCAGTCCAATCGGACAGTGGAGAAGACCCAGCAGCCACTCCAGCATCACGTGAGGGAGATCAGGTGGCTGCTGTCCAGCCGCGAAGCAACAAGCCCCGACTGAGCGGGAGGTCGAAACCAGCATCGCAGGCCGGAAACGGACAGCCAGCACCACCATGGGTCAAGTTCGGCTTGACCGAGGCCGAGTACAAGTACCGCATCCGTTACGGCTGCTGTTACTGGTGCAACAGCACCAAGCACAAGACCTCCATTTGCCAAGATCAGGCCAAGGAGGATGTGCGGCCTCGTCTTAACTCGGGAAACTGAGTTGCGCAGGAGGTAAGGCGACTCCACCTCTCACTCCGCCAGATTCGGCCGCCTTGCTAGCGGCCTCCTACACATCTGGGGAGGATGCGCATGTCGCAAGTCCTCGGTACACTTACGAGGATTATGCTGTCCACTTGGTCCCACCGCTGGACCAACCGCTCCACGTGCAACCATCTACCGCATGCACGGTTTCATCACCATCGGCAACCGATTCGGCAGCCTCGCCGCTATCTATCGTCGGGGATTCATCGTCGTGGTCAAGACTTGAGGTGCTCGACCCACTGAAGTTCACGGATTTCCGGTGGATGCCCGTTCCCTAGACCGGACGATTGTCGAAACCGCATTGCAATGTGCTCAGGACACAACTGCGAGATTACTTGCACACTGCAGTACCAGCTCCGTTGATGGACGCCGGAGTAGAGGTTGTCGACCTTCACGCTTACATTGCGAAGATCGACCTCGAGTTCAAGACGCAACGGTACGACGACATCGACGCACCATTGCTCTATGTACGCATTCAGATCGGAGAGGCGACCTGCAACGCCTTCATCGATTGCGGAGCATCTCGCAACTACATCATCCAGGACTTCATGGTGCGCGCCGACCTTGGCCCACGTGTCCGGAGGAAGTCCCAGCCTACGCAAGTCACTTTCGCAGACGGTCATACGCACAAGTCCATCGACCGGTGCATTGACGCCGTCCCCGTGTACTTTGCCCCTCACGCAAGTGAGGCGGTGTCCTTTGATATCCTGGACACCAAATTTGACATGATCTTGGGCATGTCATGGCTGCGAAGCGAGGATCACCCGGTGAACTTCTTCCACCGCACCGTTCACATTCGCGATCGAAACGGAGTATTAGTTCCATGCAAGGTACCTCTTCCTCATCCTTCGATCAGCTGCCACGTGGTATCCGCCGCAAGCATGCGAGCATCCATCATCAGAGACGACATCGAGGAGATCGGGGTTGTGTTTTCTCCACGCCCTCCCGCCCCGAGACGCTTCATCGACGGACTCATCTTCGGATCCACGCATCAACGAACTTCTCGACGCCTACAGCGACGTGTTCGAAAGCCCGCACGAAGTAGTACCGGATCGGCCCATCCGCCACGAGATCATCCTCGAGGACGGGGACGTACCTCCGCGCGGTTGCATCTACCGAATGAGCGAGCACGAGTTAAGTGTGCTTCGTGCACAACTCCACGATCTTCTAGAGAAAGGTTGGATTCGGCCTAGCTCATCGCCATACGGTGCTCCTGTYCTCTTCGTCCGGAAGAAGAACAAGGACCTGCGGTTGTGCATCGATTATCGCAAGCTCAACGCGCAGACGATCAGGAACGTCGGCCCTCTCCCACACATCGACGATCTTCTCGAGCGACTGGGCGGCGCCAAGTTCTTCTCCAAGCTGGATCTCAAGTCAGGGTACCACCAACTCGAGATTCCCAAGGAGGATCGCTACAAGACCGCGTTTAAGATGCGATATGGGCATTTCGAATGGCTGGTCATGCCATTTGGCCTTAAGAATGCCCCGGCCACTTTCCAAGCGGCTATGACAACGGAGTTCCGACACATGCTGGATCGATTCGTACTTATCTACCTCGACGACATCCTGGTGTACAGCCGGAGTTTGGAGGAGCATGTGGAACACCTGCGCATCGTTTTGGAGCAGCTACGACAAGCCAAGTACAAAGCCAACCGCGACAAGTGCGAATTCGCGCGGCAGGAGCTAGAGTACTTGGGACACTATGTGACGTCGAAAGGCATCCGTCCGCTTGCGGACAAGATCGAGGCCCTACGAGTATGGCCCGAGCCCACCAACACCACGGACGTTCGTTCATTCATGGGATTGGCGGGCTACTATCAGCGATTCATCATCGGATACTCAAGGATTGTTGCACCTATGACGAGGTTACAGTCGCCAAAGATGCCATTCGTGTTCGATGACGACGCACGCCGGTCATTCCAAGCACTTAAGACGGCTATGCTCATGGCACCCGTCCTTAGCATCTACGACCCCACCCTGCCAACGCGAGTGACTACGGACGTTTCCGGCTATGGCATTGGGGCAGTCTTGGAACAGCACAACGGCGACAACTGGCACCCCGTGGAGTATTTCAGCCACAAAGTGTCTCCCATCAACCCGCTTGATGATGCAAGGAAGAAGGAGCTACTCGCGTTCGTCATGGCTCTCAAGCGATGGCGGCACTTCCTCCTTGGGCGTCGTAGGTTCACATGGGTTAYRRACAACAATCCAYTGACCTACTACAAGACGCAGGATACGGTGAGCAGCACGATCGGACGATGGATGTACTTCATCGACCAGTTTGACTTCACACCGAAACATCTTCCCGGCCTCTCAAATCGCGCAGCAGATGCACTCTCGCGAAGACCTGATCTCTGCGCTATGACACATCATGCCTTCGCATTCGACGAGGAGCTTCAGCGACACTTCATCCGGGCATATGAGTCTGATCCGGACTTCGCCACGCTGTACGCACAGCTATCTTCGGATCACCCGTCGGCCAGCCACTATCGCATCGCCGACGGATACTTGCTCCTCCACTCGAGAGGCAAGGACTTATTGTGCGTCCCACGCGACCGTCGTCTTCGGACTCGCCTCCTCGACGAGTATCATGATTCACGACTCGTCGGCCATTTCGGAGTCAACCGCACTATTGCTCGGCTTTGACAACGATTTCGATGGCCCGACCTCATTACCGATGTCACTCTGTATTGCGACTCTTGCGAAGTTTGCCGACGCAGCAAGCCCCGCAACCGCAATCCCTACGGCGAGTTACACCCGCTGCCTATCCCACGGGAACCCCGTCTCTCCATTGCCAGGGACGTCACCGGTCCATTTCCTCGCGACCGGCTCGGGCACGACGGCATCCTCACGGTTGTGGACCGATTGAGTAAGTACGCGCGTTTTCTCCCTTGCAAGTACTACTCCACGGCTCGCAAGCGGGCACGCCTCCTGCACACTGGTTGGATTTGCGGCCACGGTGTACCAGAAGACATTGTCAGCGACCACGACACTCGTTTCATGTCGGCGTTTTGGACTGCTCTCATGCAGGAGTCCGGCACAACAATGAAACCAAGTTCGGCTCGGCATCCTCAGACAGACGGGCAGACGGAGCGGGCACATCAAACCGCTCAAATGATGCTTCGTACGCTCATCCGTCCGGACCAGAAAGATTGGGTTGACCGCCTCCCCGACATCGAGTTCGCCTACAACACTTCGGTGCATCCAGCAATCGGCGCGGCTCCATTCGAGTTGCACCACGGTGGACGGAAAGGCCAGATTTTCGTCGACCTTCTCCTCCCTCGACCAGCCGATATGACGCTGCCTGCTCTCCAGCTTCCGTCCGGAAGTACAGGGAATTGCTGACTCAAGCCCGCGCAAATATGCAAAAGGCTCGAGTCCGCATGCAGCAGCAAGCCAACAGGCGTCGCGTACCATGTCCCATCCGCGCCGGTGATCTGGTTTGGGTCTCTGCGGAAGAGTTTGCACTGGAACAGGACGTTTCACGCAAACTGCTTCCCAAGTGGTTTGGACCTTGGTCTGTGAAAGCAGCCGCAGGCGATGAGCCCGATGGCCCTTCATTTGTGATCAACATTCCAGAGCATCTGACGGTCCATCCGGTCTTCCACGCCAGCCAAGAGCGACGACTTTCCGGGCCGACGATCGCAGGACCCTCCTTCTATGGATGGCCATCAGAAAGTTGACCGCGTCATCACCGATCGCAAGTACGGCAGCAAGCCGCGGCAGTACAAAGTCACATTCAAAGCATGCGATCGCGACGACACTCGGTGGATTTCAGGCGCAGATTTGAAAGCATCCGCACCGCTGATCTACGCTCACTATGAACGTCAAAGGTTAGCCAAGGGACCTCCACGACCTGCCCCTCCCACCCGGACTGTGGTCCCTCCCTCAGACAGACAGCTTCGCCCTCGCAGGTAAGCTCGATCTTTCAAGGAGAGGGGGGTGTGGCATACTGCGTGGCCACACGGGCCCTGTAGGACCCGTCCCGGACATTCAGCCTAAAAGCCTAAAACTTAGGATCTACAGGCCCCGGTTGATTCAGCCTGAAAACTGAAAAACAAGGGCCTGGAGGCCCTACTCCGTTTCAGCCTATTTCTGGGTCTTTCAGACCCAGAGTTTTTCCAGCCTGAAACGGAGGGCTATTCTTAGGCCCTGGGCTATTTTTAGGCCCTCATTTGTTTCGACCTGCCCTAAGATTCAGGCATGAAAACTGGGTTTCGGAACAGGCTATTTCTGRCCTGTTCCCACGCCAGCTCGAGCAGGAGCTGCAGCTGCAGCCCCTGCCTCCCTGCGGCATTATTGGCGAGAGCACGAGCAGGAGCTGCAGCTGCATCCCCTGCCTCCCTTCGGCATTATTGGCAAGAGCACGAGCAGGAGCTGCAGCTGCAGCCC